AAGACTGTAATAACGTGTATCGCAGCAAAACATAATTTTTTGAAAGCACTAGTACATCCTACAATATCTACTTAGTCGTTTCTGGATCTTCGTTTTTTTTTTTTGATAAGAAAAATTGCACCGCTAAATGTAGTGCGAATTTGGGAGATCCCAACCACGCAATAGCGTGCAACTCGAAACAAATTGTTGATACGGAGGCGAAGTTGCGGGTTGTACGGAAGCGGAAGCTTGAGCTGATGGTACACGGTTTCGACGCTGCCCATCGCGCACTCTGCCGCCTGCCACACAGAGGTGATGGTCCTGGCCGAGCTTCGGATCGATGGAAGGATCCTGTTCAGATCGCCCTCCTTTAGAGGGTTGAGGATACGTCCGGCCATCACTGTCGAACAGGTGAGCGCCGAGTCGGATACGACATTCATGCGCGTGTCAGATTAATACTTGGGGTCGAAGAGCTACATCCGAAAGTCCAGTGAGCTGTCGGTGGCATTCCATGACCCCGGGCAATTGTGCTTGCATCAGATGATGCACCCATCTGCAACAAAGCAGATCGTACCCGTAACGAAGACCGAGTGGAGCCCTCCGTTGTACATATCTTCTGGAGGTCCCCGTTAGATGGTTGCATGACCTACATGGAGTTATGAATGTACAAGAAAGGATAGTTACAAAAAAAATTGGATTGAAAATGCGCAAATCTTGTTTTTTTTCCCGTCGATTAAGCCAAACGTGTGCGCCAGAAGGGCTTGCGTGCCTCAACTAGACGCTCCAGCTTCACCTGACGTGCTGGTGATGGCCGCGATATGCGAGTAGGGACGTAGTTTTTTAGCGTCGATGTCAGCACCTCTACGGCCTTGTACAGCGTCCTTGACAGAGTGCTCGGAGGCACTCCGAAGACCAAGCACAGAGTGGTTTGCTCCGTGGGGCTTAAATAAAAGCTAAACACGAGGCATAGCACTTGGCGGTGATAGCGTAGTCTCTGCGGACGTCCGGGTGCAGTTGGAGGCGGGATGTTATAGAAGGTTTTGAACCTGCAGAGAAGCTGCTGAAACGCAGCTCTGTACATGCGCAAAATTATCTAAATTAGACCTTTCGTAACGTTAAATACAACCACACTTTGTCAAGCTTGTGGCGTTCATGAATTTCACGTGGTCGCCACACTCATACAATATCGTCCCAGCCGAGTAGCTTGGCGAATCTAAGCATTTAGCCGTGAGATAGTGCCGACTTCTCATGGCGAATTTACACTCCTGACACGATGCGCCTGGAAGAAAATTTGGATGGGCACCCCGGGCGACAAAGGACCCACGACGAAGTGTTGTGATTGGCTAGGGAAGAGATATCCAG